TTTAAAGTTTAAATTTATTTATGGTTTAAAATTGATTTACTTTTAGTTATGATTAATCACTTTATTTTATTTCAAACCTGGCGTTCTTGTGATTGGTTTAACATATGGTTTATCGTGAAAGAATTGAGTGTGAAAGTCCACTAAACAAGGCAAAAGTTGAGAGTATGTTGGTTCAATAAAGTGGTTGAATTTTAATGCAATGCATTGCAAGTTAGTGTAATTTTGTACAATAATTTATGACAGATTAGTATAGGTTTGAGGCTTATCTATTAGTTCTAGAGGGGGAAGGATTCTCAAATCAAGGTAAGGTTACTTTAGTCATTAGTATTAACATTAGTATTAGGATTAGGATTAAGATTAGTATTAAGATTAGTGTTGAGAATTAGTATTATGGCCAGAAAGTGAGGGAAATTGTCAGAATCTTAAGCTGATTAAGGTTAAATTAGTACAAACCATCCATTTTCAATAATGTTTTACTAAGATATTTGGATTTAAATTAGAGACTAGTGTGTGAATTGCGAATGCATTATGATTGGCCAGTTTGAATGTTACAATAATCAACTGTTTAGATCTTACCTCATTACTTCAGACAACCTGCGGACTTCACAATATAATTTAGTATTTAGTATTAGCGTATAATTATCAGTTTAGATGAATTTAAATCATTGCTTTACATGTTAAAGTAATGCATTCATTATTTTTTGGTTACAATTTATCATTTGCACAGAAGGGGTCTTTCCCTGAGGGAAAAAATAATCATATACATGACCGGAGAAGTAGATTATATTAGGGGGATATGGGTTAGATAACCACAAGTTAAGCCACAAACGAATATCCAAACAGCCTCTATTTATTCTAGTGGCTATTGATTATCTCAGTTGAATTCAGACTTGAAGTTTGGAGATATACTTTTTTAGCAACTGTGAGATAAGTAGGAATGACAGAGAAGGTTATTTTATAAAAGCCTGATGTAGCTGTGATTGAGCGAATTTTTTTGGGATTAGTTGTTCAAAGCCCTCCAGGCAAAAAGCCAAGCCAAAGTATCTTAATTTGTTCATGAAAACAATATTAGCAGTTACAATTCTCATTTATCCTAGGCTCAAACTTAAAAGACCTCCGAACAAGCATCCTCAGATATTTTGAGGTGTTTTGCTTTTAAGGAATTAGGGATATCAATTAACTATGTAGGCCCACTGTGCAATATGTCTAAAAGGTATCATGCAAAGAAGCACAATTGTGGCAATCATAAATAATTAACATGTGCTTCATTGGCAAACATATCTGATAACAAAACATTCTTCGATATACATTTATATTTTGTTGACACAAATGACTGTCTCACAATGCTTAAAATGAGGCCTATTTTCAAATATTTCCCTTTAGTTAATGATTAACCAGCAAACAGCAATTATAATTAGTTAATTCGTTTTAGACACGAAATATAGCGATGCATGAAAACAATGCTCAATATATTTAATTTATTTTGAGTAGGATAAGAACATAATTCAAATGTTTTCACGTTCGATATCAAAACGTTGTGGCGTAAAATAACAAATTTTTCTTTCAAATCAAAACAAGTTTTATTACAAAATTCACGCAGCGATTTCTTGCAATATTAATATCAAGTACTGCGGAACCTTCTGGAGCGCGTGAGATTTGCTTAAAAAACATGATAAAATCTAAAAATATATAAGTATTTTGATGTTTTGGTGGCCTAGACAGAGGTGAAATTAGCGCGCTCTCGGGGTGTCTTCCGCTTGCTTTAGTTTGCCTAATTTTAAGCGAAGAGGCTGGAAAGTGAAAAGAAATGAAGTATAAATACCTGTCTTATCTCTGGCGGCCAAGTTTATGCCCTCCTTTAGCTCTACAGAGAGAGCGAAGAAGGCAAATTTGCCACTTCTGGCAACCGCCGCTGCCTATAAAAGATATTAGAACAGCCATTAGAACAATTTGTCTCAAATTAACAACCGGAAGCGAATGTCTCGACTACTTCCGCTTTCACATAAACAACGATATTCACGAGGAGAAATTGCTAGAGAAAAGCACAATATTTCAAAATGTTTTCCATCCGACAATATCAAAATATCAAACATCATTTAGCGTTAAGAAACATTAGGACGGTAACCCTCAAATTCTTTCGCTTACAATTATGCAAAGTAGAACACGAAGGAACTGCAAACATTCGATATCGAAGATGATAGGAATCTGAAGTTTACTGAATGAAACACTCACCGTCGAGCCCGGAGAGAATTCCACAGGCGAGCTCTCGCCGTCGAGCGAGAGATTTTCAGGTCGCCCACCCGGGCTCTCGGGAGCTTGGCCGCCGCCTAAAGATATGTTTGAATGTTTTCGGTTAGTTTGAGTTTGGTCGTGTGGTTGGTTTGTGTCAGCATTCGTTGTCTCGTCCTGTTTGAGGTCGAAATTTACCGACCGTCGATGTGACCTCATCTCGCTGATGTGTGTCAACGAACGAGATAGAAAACTCTTCCTACCCTTCTTCTTCTTAAGACTGTTGAAAAGCCCCTTCTTCTTCTCGCCTAGCGAAAGCGATTTCAAATCACACAAAATACAGGTTAAACATACGAACGGAGTCCAAAGGAAACAACATACAAAATCGACATCGCGATATATATACTGGAGTAACTTGACTTGCATACCTTTATCGTCGTCTGACATTGTAGGATTTTCTTAGGAGATTTTACGCAAAGTTCTACAGATACCTGCTTTCTGTCTACTTCTACACCAATTGACTCGTATTGGGAATCAAGGCTACGACAGCAATGCGCATGATTACTGCGCAGAAGCGTCGCGTCTTCCTTGCACCGCAAGCGAGCTTTCTACAGGTGGCTGCCGGAGATGTTGTAGGCTGCAAACAATCTCGGTTTTAGCAGAAACGAGAACACAACTGGACGGAAAAATCACTACTTATGTTAAATGCTCTCGGTCGACTAGTTTTCTCAGCCTAAAATACCTTGATTTCATAGCGGGATATAATTGCTTTGATGCAAACACCGGGAGTATCACGCAATCAATTATTTATACCCGTCATTATAACGCCATTTCACGGCAATTAAAAGCGGTTGCGAGGGAATAAATACATGACATTTTACAGCCATTGTTTGGTAAACTTCGGCTAAGGAAAACCCACACCAAAAGGGATGCAACTTGTCGCATGAACACACCCTTATGTTCGCGTTTTTCAATTTTCTCTTAAAAAATGCAGCGTGGTTTAATTATTCATACCCCGACGGGTAACGTTTTTGATTAACATGAAAAAGACGCGCTATATTTACGAACGTACATGTCGTAATATTAAGAAGTGGCACTTTTTCATAACTTTCAAAACAGGAACAAGTTAACGTACACTTGTTAGGGAAGCTTGCCCACACATGTTTGTTTTTAAGACTTAGAATGCTCAGGTCAAAACGTTTCATATTTAATTCTTATTATCCCAAGGTCTTAGCTAACTTGTAATAAACTCTGGCATCTCGTTTGATTTGGCTTTTAATACATGAGTATGAAAGACTATTCTTTATATTACTCTTATATTATAATTACTCTTTACGATTACTCTTTATATTCGCAATGAAGATTTTAACGTCCTGTACGGCTGGACTGGTGCGACACACACAAGGTCATGCAATTAAAGGCCCTGTTACACGGTGCAATTTTTCCTGCAACTTGCAATTCAATTCTTCTTTTGAGAGATGTAAGATTGGCAACGACTGAACTTTTGTCTCTATTACAATCCATGGCTTTTCTCAGTTACACTTACATTTTGAACTTTGAAGCCTTCTCACTAATTTACATCTCTTAAAAAGTAGAATTGCATTGCAAGTTGCAAGAAAAATTGCATAGAATTGCACACTGCCTTAAGGGCACACAATTTTTGGCATAGCTTCGTCACTGTTTCCATAGCAACTTGGCAGATTAAGAGGCTGTTCACATGAGCCCGTTTAGGATGGATTTTGGATTTTGAGAAGTATTGAAAAAAAACCACATGCTATTGTTAGAATGATCACAAGACTACCAGAATCGTGTTACTTACTCATTTCAATAGCCGTCAAAGTTCATTGCACGCTTTGTCAAATCTCTCAACCGGGATCATGTGAACAGCCTCTAAGTATATCGATATAAAGACGTACATACAGAACTGTCACATGACATTTGCCAGTTCCTACCAGGATGGTTCTTTCTTAACAGGAATGCTCAGTCCAGGCAAACTACTGCCCGAACCATGATTTCGATTCTTCGAGAAAAATCGGTATTTGTTGACTGTAGGTTTGTTCATGTGATTGTTGGCGTTGTAGGAAGAAGCGTCAGTCTTCTTGGCGTCAGTCTTAATGTTTTTTGATCTAAAATAGAATGAAAATATTTAACGTTAGTATGTAAGATCATCGCACCTGGATGGATACAGGAAGAGACGAAGAAAAATCTTTTTCTATTTTTATTTATTTATTTTTTTCCCAAGATTAGATTCGTATTACACAATAACCATACCGAGTTTTTGTTCCTGCATAAAACCTTCGTTTGCCCTTTCTCTTTTTCTTTTTTCTTTTACCATTATTTGTTTGAGAGGCTTCATAACTCCCCCCTGGAAAACGCGCCGATGTTCTAGACGACGTCTTGGCATTAGTACCTGTACCGGGGGGTTGATCTTCGTCATCTTCTATAACAATAACATTTGATTTATTTCGATTTTGAAATGCAGGAGTGTTCGTCCGCCAGGTCGATGAAAATGATGAGGTTGTGGATCGAGACTTGGACGTTTGTGGAGTGAAACTCGCGTGAGAGTTTGCAGAAACTTTGGATAATTGCGACAGGCAAGTAATTGATCGACGTTTCTCTTCTATTCTTAGACTCAATCTCCTCCTTTGGCCTCTCAACATGTTCCTGAGAATGATCAAAGGAGAATTGGGCAAACTGGAAAAAATCCACATTATCACACAACATCTACTGTTATCTATCGTTCAGCCAGGAACTAAACTTCCTCTTGTAGCTTACCTTTCAACTTGGTTTTTCTTGTACTGTTCGTGTTTCTCTTCACCAAACAGATCTAGTAGAAAATCATGGTCGAAAGCTTTGAAGGAATCCGCAATCCTTTCCAACACTGCGATGTAGTCTGAGGAGGATTTTTCAAACATTGCGTCAAGCTGGTTGTCTTGTTTCTGCATGAACTCATGATCTGCAGATGATCTTTGAAAATCATTAATTTCCACATTTTCTTCTTGAAGGTTAGTCTATAGGAAAAGTTCATTTCTCAAAAGTCTATATGAAAAATAGTAATTCGCATAGCAGAAAATTCACATAAAAAATGAGTTTCCTCGGCTCTCTCGGATCGCCAATGATGGAACTGAAAAGATGTGTAATGGCGTGATGGACCAGTGAACCAAAGGTCGTGGGTTTGATTCCAAGCGTGTTCAAGCTAATTTTCGGCTTGCCTGGGATGTAACTCAGTGTGGCACCATCACAATATGTAATGTTGAAGATTTTGATTATTTAAGTCTGGAAACGTATTTATAATTATAATTAAACTTACCTCATCATATTCATTAATATCTTCCTTGATTTCATCAGCTTGTATTCTGTCACTGGTGAGATCAACTTCTGTCACCATTCTTTCTTTCTGGCTGGTGTGAGTCTCTGGTAACGAACTAAAACGATCACAGAACAAAAGATTGCATTGCTTACCAAATTTGCTTTAGGAAAGCATTATACTCAAGTTTATATCAAATATACAAACCAAAATTATGTCCATATTGTTTTAATCTCATCAGCCTTCACTTAATTAACTTACTCTTCTACGTCGATGTCATCAAAATATGGTGGAGAATTCTCATTGGGTGATAAAAACTCTGGTGTTTTTGGGCTTGGTGCGATGAAATCAAAATCAAACTAGATTATGGAGAAAAGATGCTCGATTAGATCACAAATTTTTCTCAGTGGGTTTTTATCCTGGTTTCTTAAAATTTACCATGAAAATGTATTTACAATAAACCTTTACCTGGCTGTTAAGCCCAAATTCTGAGCCAAAACAAGCATCATCAAACTGATTATATGTTCTCTTAGATGACTGAGTAGTTTCCCCTTTCTAAACACAAACAAATCATTGACAAATACCCTTCGAACATCAAGGACATTACCAGTTCCCACACTTATAGTACTGCTTCTAACCTGCTCAGGACATTCAGTTTCTTGCTTTGGAATTTGATTTTCTCTGTATATATTATGGAAAGAATGATAAATATTACTTAATATATCATATCAATAATGATATAATATTAATATGCAATATATTTTGAAAATTTTTCATTATATTTGATTAATTAATTTTTGATTATAGTTTGATTAATTGATCAATCAATCTGATCTTAACCAGGGTATCAATTGAGATCAGTTTTTGTCAAAATAAGTATAGTATAGATTAATATAGTTCAATTATATTCACTAAAAGGGAAGGTGGGAAGACCTGCTTCGAGGTTAGGGCCACTGTGTACTTAAGAGGAGGAAATATGATGGATGAAATGAAATACAAGTGTTAAATCATCAGGCTCCCTCTCTAAGGTTTATACACTGAGGGTGTATAAAAAAAAGGTAATCCAACTTCAACACGGTATTGTACGTGAACTACTCGGTCTATGAACGAATTTTTTTCACATTCGGAAAGATCAGGCTTTTAACTATCGGATGACATGGTTTTAGTACCAAATGGGGAAAAATTGAGCACATACGAGGCTGATAAAAAATATGTTAGTCGCAATCGCATATTTTCAACTTTGACCCTAATTAAAGCAGTGCATAACAAAAGAAAAAACAATTAACCACGAACACGTCACAGCTTGCACTGGTTTTATGCCGCATTGCTTGGAATGTTCTCCTGATGTGATTTATTTCTACTTAATATGCATATGCCGGTAGTTTATTCCGAAGCAAAATTCTTCAATTAAGTCCCAAAGGTAGTTAATTTTCAATGGTTTTAGTCCCAACTCTCAGAGGTGAAAATATGCGATTTTAAATAACACTTTTTATGAGCCTCGTATTTGCTCATTTTTTCACCATTTGGTATCAAAAACATGTCATTCGATAGTTAAAAGCCTAACCTTTCGGAATGTGAAAATAATTCGTTAATAGAATGAATAGTTCACGTACAAATAGCGCGCCAAAGTTCGATTACCTTCTTTTTGATACGCCCTGTAGTAACGATACACATAACTAAAGTAACATAACTTGTAAATCACTGAAGCAACCTTATTAAAACATGCTGATACACAACTTAATTGTCATTATTTTGAAAAATGGTTCGCGTTTGCCGGATTTTATTTCCTCGAAGTGGATTAGATTAAGGCACCACTGAAAGGCACGTGTGCGCCATGTTTTAATTTCGTCGAAGAAGGGCAAACGCCAAAAGATAAATCAAATACCATACTTCAACACTATTTCTGCGATGATATATAAACTTTCATTAAAACGCTTTTCTAACTACATTAAATAAATTCAAAGACTTACTTCTCCGGAGCAGCTGCAACACGCTTGTTCATTCTGCCTGATTTATCAAGGTAATGATTGCTATTCAGTAAAATTTTGGAATTTGTAAATCCCGCCATGAACGACGCGCAAGGACTGGAACCCGAAACCAAAATAACCAATCAGTGTTGTTAGCAATTTGCGCATGCTCAAGGCCAAATGTAAATTATGTAATCCTAGTTATCCTACTAAAAACTACTTTTTATTATAACATTCGTAGTAAACTTCTGCTAAGAAAAACCCACACCAGAAGGGATGCAACTTTACTGCGGTCGTATAAACACACCCTTGTGTTCGCTTTTTTTAATTTTCCCTTAAAAATTTTTGATTAACATGAAAAAGACGCGCTATATTTATGAACGTACATGTCGTAATATTAAGAAGTGGCACTTTTTCATAACTTTCAAAACAGGAAAAACTTAACGTACACTTGTTAGGGAAGCTTGCCCACACATGTTTGTTTTTAATTAATTAAGACTTAGAATGCTCAGGTCAAAACGTTTCATATTTAATTCTTATTATCCCAAGGTCTTAGCTAAATCAGTTATAATAAACTCTGGCATCTTGTTTGATTTGGCTTATGGTTTAATCGATGAGTATGAAAGATTACTCTTTATATTCGCAATGAAGATTTCGCACGTCCTGGCTGTGAAAGGACAAACAATTTTTGGCATAGCTTCGCAACTCGCAAGCGTATTCGTCATTGTTTCCATAGCAACTTGGCAGATTAAGTGAGTTCACTGGATTAGGTGCATCGATGGAAGGACGTGAATACAGAACTGTCACATGACCTCTGCAGTCAAGCCAGCAACGTGACTGACCTTGGTTGGCGAGTTCCTACCAGGATGGTTCATTTTTTCGCAGGAATGCTCAGGAATCCTGGCAATCTTCTGCCCGAACCAAGATTTCGTTTCTTCGAGAAATCACGATACTTGTTGACTGTAGGATTGCTGATGTGATTGTTGGCGTTGTAGGAAGAGGCGTCAGTCTTCTTGGCGTCAGTCTTATTGTTTTTTGATCTAAAATAGAATGGAAATATTTAACGTTTGTATGTGAGATCATCGCACCTGGATGGATACAGGAAGGTCAGGAAAAGACGAAGAGAAATCTCAAGATTAGATTCACATTACACAATATAAATCATACCGAGTTTTCGTTTTCTTTTTCCCATTAAAATTTCGTTTCCGCCTAAACTTTTTCGATTTTCCGTTAGAGGTGGTAAAATTAATGCCGGCTGCCGCCCAGTAAGGAGATGCACAATCGTCTTCATTGTCCTGTCTCCCAGCCTCCATCATATCATCGCCATCACTGATCATATTATCTTCGGATGTAAATATTGCCGCTCCGGCATACGCTAGTGTTAACTGAAAAAAAAATAAATGACGAGGGACTATCAGTTCCAAACTGTTTTCCCTAAAGGTCCAGTAAGGATCATCTCTTATTGAACCAGTGTTACTACAAGAGGAAACCTAAACTAAACGAACTTTACTTATTCTTACCCTAGAGGGGGTTACTGACCTCTAAGAAATGCGATCCAAATGTCTCCATCTTGTACTCCGTTACTCCTTCTATATCAAGCATCTCCTCGCGCGTCATCGGAAGTTTGTCGGCCATCAGTCGGAGAGTGACGTCGGCGAAAATGTGATGTGGTTTCAGCCCCTCCTCTTCAGCAACTCTCTTACAACACGCGCTAGTCGTGTGGGGGGGGGAACTACGTGTTTGTCACGTGTACATTGCTTGGGACGTCACTTTTGGGAACCGTGCCACTTTTGGAGGATTTCTTGTCTCGTGTGAAAAATGGCGGAAGCTGAAAAAGGCACATTGATTAACGCTGGCCAAATGGCGTAAGCAGCTCTTGTTAAAGACGAAAGTCAACTGGTTTTTGGTTCGTGATTTACTGGCGAAATTTCGGACACATATTGAGGCATCTTATCCCATCAACAATTCTTTGATCAGTAGAAATGCCTCTCACCTTCACCCGACCGTTTAGAAATTCCATCGCTTTCGGCCCAAGCTTGGCGTAAGCGATGACTTGTGAATGATGCCCAACAGTCAAATCTTCGATGAGGATATCTTTCATTACCAGCATACGAAACAATCGTTCTGCATCATTTCGAGATAAACTATCCCCAGCCTTCCCGTACATCACACAACGGTTGAGCTTCTCACGATCAACCTTGGCGTTCTGACTACCCTGGTGGAGTAAAAGGAAAAATAAGTCCACTTTGATCTCTGTGACTAAGACTTAAACTGCCTCTTGTAATGATCAAATCAGTTCATCTCAGTCACATGTGAAAAGAGTGCTTTCAGTTTGACTCTACCAAACACAGTGGTCATTAGTTCATGGCTCTCATCTCTGTGACTGAACTGAAGTTTGATTCCTGTGAGGTTTGACTCCGTGCAATTGTCTGATTGCACTTTTACACCCGAGAAGATCGAGTGCTACCAATTTCACTCCAATTTCGATGAAGGTACCTTTTTGAGAATCCTGGCATTATAATTCCATATTAATAAAACCACCTTCTGTCAAAATTAGTGCATGAATTAATCTTACCTTAAACACGTCAACCAGATGTTTCAATGTCAGTTGAGCCATAGGACGTTGCCAGTTGCCATTTCCTTTATGGATCAACGTATTCACAGACTCAACAATCAACTTGGCAAGTGGTGTAACATCTTGCTCGTTAACCTGGTCAGCGCTTGAGCAGTTGTCACAGATCGTGGCCTGGTTATTGTGGCATTCAGCACTGTCGAATCCAGTCTCTCCAAAGTACTCCAGGAGCTGCGCACGCCTGCATTCTGTCACGTTTTCACAGTATTGGACAACACGGTAGAGGTTGTTCATGTGTACATTTATGGATGCCTGGGTATTTGTTTTGTCTGATAGGACCATTCTGGGTGAAGTAAGGATAATGGTCAAATGTCATAAGCGGGAATCAAACTCAAATAACAAAGATTAGAGACTAACTGACTAAGCACTGTTTTTGCCAGAGTCAAATAACTGTAGGCCGAGTTCTTTTCTTCCTTGTGAATGAGGTAAATGAATACGAGTGTACCACATTCATTGCATCAACTCACCTTTTCAAACGATGCACATCTCCATAGTTGTAGAACAGGATACATACAGAATTCTGGCCATCTCTCCCAGCGCGACCACACTCCTGAAAGTAACCCTCAAGCGACTTGGGCAACGAATGGTGAAAGACAAATCGCACATCAGCCTTGTCTATTCCCATCCCGAACGCGATTGTCGCACAGATCACCTGGATAAAGAAAATATATGGAATGATGTTCACAGGCTCAAAACCTAAAACAATATCGTTAACTGAACATTGTAATATTGTAAAAAACAACAGAATGTTCACAGTCAAATATGTTTCATCGTATTCTAAAAGAAGGTTAGTACCACATATCGTTGTCTAAAGTAATCGCCTTTAGATATACAGTTGCAATGCAATATTGAGCAAGTATGTACCTTGCATCTGTCTCGTATCCAGTCCTCTTGCGTTCGTTTACGTTCCGAATCAGACAAGCCCGCGTGATATGCAGTGGCCTGAATCCCAGTCTGACGAAGATTATCGGCCAGATTGTCACAATCGTTCCTAGTATGGAAAAATAAGATGATGAAATATATATATATATATATCAATACACGCAAATCTTGCTACCGAAGCAAGTATTTTGCATTAAATACGCTTAATTAACACGACGAAGTCTGTCCAAATATTCTTGTTGTCCTAACCTGGATAGACAATAGATAATGCCTGAATCAATCGCGTGCTTTGCCTTGATAATTTCAGTAATTTGCTCCGCTAGTTTGCCTTTCTTAGGACGAAGCAGGAACTGCAGATTTGGACGGTTGAAACTCTGGCTGAACCTGGAAAAGAAAATAACTATTTTAAACATTCTTCCCCAAAGGTCCACCAGCACACGGAAAATATTATATGAAGAGCGAACCAATATTGTAAAGTTTCATTTGAAAGTGCCGGACAAGAAGATTAGAACTCAATTAAACTCCGGTCTCTAAAAATCCAATGCTTCAAACGCACCACATGGGTTTTTTCATTCTCAACTGCGTGACAATGTCCGTGCGAACACGAGGCGTTGCTGTTGCGGTCACCGCCATCATGGGAACGAGAGGAAACTTCTCGTTTAACGCCGACAACTTTTTGTAATCAGGCCGAAAATCATGGCCCCACTGACTGACGCAGTGCGCCTCGTCAATTACAAATCTGGCCAGCTTTCCACGACTGTAGAGACTCTCCAGTGCGTCTGAAAGCCTCCCACTTCCGCTAAGTTTTTCTGGCGTCACGTAGAGAAGCTTAGTTTGAGGAGAAACACTGTGAAGATCTCGGTAGATGGCGTTCACGACGTTTGCCGATGTTTCACCGGTCATTTGATGCGCTGGAATCTGCAAAATACAATTATTTACTGAGCTACACGTAACAAAACACAACACGACCTTAGGAATTTTGAAAGAGCTCGACTCCTAGGAATATTAACTTTCTAACTCAATATGAATATAAAAGTTTTATGTTCTTCTTACATGATTTGAACTGAGTTTCATCACTTGATCTTGTATCAAAGATTTCAGGGGGGAGACAACGATGGTTACCCCGTCAGTTACAACAGCAGGTAATTGATAACAGAGAGTCTTTCCTCCCCCGGTTGGCATCAGTATGAAACAATTCCTTTTGAGCAAAGCGGCGGTGATCGCTTCGTGTTGGTTGAAACGAAAACACTTCAGACCAAATGTTCGTCTTAGGGTCCTGTTCACCTCCTGCGTGAAGGCGTAATCTGTTCTCTTAAACTCACCTGAGAAATAGAAAAGTTGGAATGTAAGAATAATTTAGCATTGATTGGCACCCACTTGATAACTCAGTGGTCAAACCTGTCTTATGTCATATAGACCTTTACGAAATGTCCGCATTATGACATAGTTTAGTGACAAAGTATGACTCTGATATACGATCGTGCAAGCTCTGTTACTAGTTTACTCGCCTCGATAACCATCATCTGGCAATGAGTTACCAGTCTTCTTTGGTTGAGCACTCGTTATACGTTGCCCGACAGTGGACGCTTTTTCTTTACTACCAATATTTGTTTGAGATGCTCCACAACTCCCCTCTTGAAAACGTGCCGCTGTTGTAGACGACGTCTTAACATTAGTACCCGTACCGGGGGGCTGATCTTCGTAATCTTCTATATCAATAATATTTGATTGATTTTGATTTTGAAATGCAGGAGTGTTCGTCCGCCAGGTCGATGGAAATGATGGGGTTGTGGATTTAGACTTGGACGTTTGTGGAGTGAAACTCGCGTGAGAGTTTGCAGAGACTTTGGATAATTGCGAAGAGTCAGGCTGCTCCAAGACGGGGGGAGATTTATCAAAGAAACTATCACCACAGAAGGGGAGGACGTCGCCATCTGAAGCACGTCTTGATGAGGTGATAGTGCTGGTTCTGTTCTGTAATAACCATCCTGCATACAAGAAAGATACAAGAAACTGTTAAGATTGTTTTGTCAGTCACTAACCCTGCTATCATAGTATGATTAAAGACCATCTTCAAATGCATAAGTCTCACCGTTTCCAGTCTGCTGCGAAGACTTCTGCCCGATTGATCGACGTTTCTCTTCTATTCTTAGACTCAATCTCCTCCTTTGGGCTCTCAACCTGTTCCTGAGAATGATCAAAGGAGAATTAATTGGGTAAATTGGAAAAAATCCACATACTGTTATCCATCGTTCAGCCAGAAACTTACGACTTCTTCTTATAGCTTACCTTTCGACTTGGTTTTTCTTATATTCTTCATGTTCGTCTTCACCCAACAAATTTAGCAGAAGATCTTGGTCGAAAGTTTTGAAGGTATCCGCAATCTTTTCCAACACAGCGATGTAGTCTGAGGAAGATTTCTCAAACTTTGCGTCAAGAGTTTCCTCGGCTCTCTCGGATCGCCGATGATGGAACTGAAAAGATGTGTAATGGCGTGATGGACCAGAGAACCAAAGGTAGTGGGTTTGATTCCCAGCGTTTTCAAGCTAATTTTCAGCTTGCCTGGGATGTAACTCAGTGTGGCACCATCACAATATGTTGTTGAAGATTTCGATTATTTAAGTCGAAACGTATTTACAATAAACTAACCTCATCATATTCATGAATATCTTCTTTGATTTCATCAGCTTGTATTCTGTCGCTGGTGAACTCAATTTCTGTCACCATTCCTTCTTTCGGGCTGGTGGCAGTCTCTGGTAAGGAACTAAGAGAATCACAGAACAAAGGATTGTATTGCTTACCAAATTTGCTTTAGGAAAGCATTATACTCAAGTTTATATCAAATACACAAACCAAAATTATGTCCATATTGTTTTAATCTCATCAGCCTTAATTCACTTAATTAAGTGAATTACTTACTCTTCTGCATCGATGTCATCGAAATATGGTGGAGAATCATTGGGTGATAAATACTCTGGTGATCTTGGGCTTGGTGCGATGAAATCAAAATCAGACTAGATTATGGAGAAAAGATGCTTGATCAGATCACAAATTTTTCTCAGTGGGTTTTTATCCTGGTTCCTTGAAATCAGCCATAGTGTAATTGAGGAAACTTGCCAAACATGATAAGAATCAGGTCCTAAGTTTGAACTCAGAATCTTTACTCAGTAAGCTAGGCAAGCCTGACATGCAGATAGAAACCGCTAAGGTTTGGAGTTACTATCAGAGGTGATTGAGGTACTGCTTTGGGGCTAGCTATCAGGATGAATAAAGGAGACTATTTCATCGTCATAGAGATCAAGTACAAGTCTAAGTTGTTTCATATAGTATACTATAATCAAAGATGGGTTAACTTGTAATCAAAGGGTTACCTCAGGATCTTGGGCATATTCATCAATATTGTAATTATTAATGTCATTGTCGTTGAAATTGTCATTTTCTTCAACATAGTTGAAAGGTTCCTGGCCTAGAATTATGAGATAATATAAACAAGCTGAGTATCATATTTTGTGTCCAACGTACGTCATAAGTTAATATCTAAATAACCCACCCATCATGGTACCAACATTTTCGTCATCATTATCTTGAACATCACCTGGCCGTACCATGTCCGTTTTCAAACGTTTACACTCATTTCGAGGCTGGCTGTTATGCTCAAGTTCTGAGCCAAAACCAACATCATCAAACTGACTAAATGTTCTCTTTGATGACTGAGTAGTTTCCCCTTTCTAAACACAAACAAATCATGAACAAATATCCTTCATCAAGAACATTATCAGTTCCCACAATTAGTACTGCTTCATGCCATATTATTACACCCAGTAAACAACTAAATCTAACCTGCTCAGGACATTCATCAAAATCATTACATTCTGAAATATTTGACTCCAGATTCCAAGGTTGTCTTTGCCGTGATCTATTACCAGATTCTTGGTTTGGAATTTTATTTTCTCTGGATTTATTATGGAAAGAATGATAAAAAAGCAAGTATAGTTTAGATTAATGCAACATTATTTCACTATAAAAGGGAAGGTGGGTGGTATATACAATTTAGGAGAGGGGTAATTGACCCAGGTGAGGGTCACAATATATACTTAGGAGGTTTATGGTAATGATACACACATCCCATGGACCGGATTGAGGGTACAACCCCATAAACAACCCACAATGGAACACCTCTACCAGGTAAGGCTGGATCTATCAACCCTACCTTATGACTATGGAAATAATAACTATAAGTAACATATTAATAACTTGTAGGCTCATTTTAGACTACTTACAAAACATGCTGATTACACAACTTACTTGTCAATTTGTCGAAAAATGGTTGCTTTACCAAAGGGGATTTCATTTCCTTGAAGTGGTTTTACTGGTTTAGAGAAAGGCACGGTGAAACCATGTTTTCTGGTCGTATCCCTTTCTTTAGATTTATCACCACATTCGGATTTTTTATCTTTCGATTTAATAAAGAAATTGGAGAATATCGTGCTTGATGATCCCGAGTTATTTGATTTCGTTTTGTTTTGAGAAGAAGGGCTAAAGATAAATCAAATATCTTAATACACTGATGTCCACCATATCTGCGATGAAATATACATTTCGATGCTATATAAAAACAATTTCCACTAAAAGGCTTTTCTATACATTAAATAAAATTCACAGACTTACTTCTTCGAAGCAGTTCCACTCTTGTTAAGAGAAAGTCTCATAGTAAAATCATAGTAAAATCTTTCCTATTGATTTATCAAAGTATAAATGTTTACGATTTAGTAAAATTTCCAAATTCACAAATCCCGCCATGAACGCGCGAGGACTGGAACCCGAAACCAAAATAACCAATCAGTGTTGTTAGCAATTTGCGCATGCTCAAGTGCAAATATGGTTTCATTTTTCACCAGATTCTATCAAGAATTGACAAACTGCGACTATGTGCACACGGCAACCGTCCACACGGTACCTTTTTTGAGCGTTTTCACATTATTTAGTACCGTTTTCATGCCAAATCCGTTTCAAACACCGTCAATTTCCAAGAGAGTCTAAAGCTAATTTAACATATTGCGGTGCCCAGGCCAAGTTTGGCACCGCATTATATTCTGCCTGTGAGTTTGTTTGTTCGCATCAATACGTTTCCTTAATCGCCTAGTAAAAATTCCTTGCACATGCTTGGAATGCTTGGAATTTTTCCCTAATTATTACTATTAATCTTGTTGTACGTTTGCCAAATTCCTTTTTTAAAGGAACGTTCTTTTTTCAATTTCAATCTCAAACTCTGTTAATTGCGTGTATCTCTGCTTTTATGCACCCAAGAAGAACAAAAATACCACCATTCGATTCAGCGTAAGAAATTATACTTACTGGTCTTAAATATATTACTAAACAAGAGTATTCGCAGCGATTTATGACGTTTGAAAGACAAACGAAATTGAATTGTTGACAAATCGCTCAAAATTACTATGCTATACTTTACTAGTAATAGTAAGTTTGGTCTTTGATATCTTTCATATCGTTGGTTTTCTCTTTTAATTTTCGTCCTTAAATAAGTGGATCGGTCTTACATTGCGATTTATTTTATAGTACTTTGAGCCAAATATATTCTATTTCGAAGGTTTTAAAGTATAGTTTCAATAAGCGAACTTTATGACAAATCGCTCAAATTATTAAACAAATTAAAAATGCAGTACGCTTAATCCTTGACTTCTGTATCGTTGCTTTTCTAGTTTCCGGCTCTACACCAGTTTATTCGTCTCACGTTTCTCTTCATTTTGATAGTATTCTTAGATAGTATTTTTAGCCTAAATATTTTATTTCTGAAGATTTCAAAACGGCGCAATTTTGACCTTAATGTACCAACCAACCAGGCTGCGGCCGACAGGAGAATGTAAGTTGGTGATGTCGTTAGAAATGAGCGGACGTTTTATTTCTAGACAAGCATTGCGGGCACCGCATTTTAGTACTGTGTCTGGTTGAGCATATTTTTCCTTGGATCGTGTGGAAGGGCGTCTAAACAAAAAAATATACAAAAACGATTTTGAAAACGCTCGAAAACGACGCTTGTGTGCACATAGCCTGCTCTTCATGTGTTAATGAGGAAATAGCAAAATGGGTGTTTAGGAGGCATAGCCCTGAGTTTATGAGGCCCCATCGCCCCCTGGACATCTGGTCCATGGATGGTTTTTGGATAAACCCGGCGGGATTTTCTCCTTCGAAGGAAGGTCTAAAATAACCGTCAAACCAACCTCGTGCGCAGGCACTTCAATGCAAAACACAAGACTCGCGTCAGTGACTTTGCCGGTTCAGGAACCAATAATAGTGTCCACAGTTGGAACCAGGGCGCTTATATATATATATATATATATATATATATATATATATATATATATATATATATATATATATATATATAATTGTAGTTAAGGACAGAATTGACCAATCAGAGTCGTGTACCTCTGAGTTAACTAGGATTTAACTATGATTTAACTATGAAGCAATGATTGTTGCAAGATTTGTTATTCTTTGTATTCGTGTCAAAAATGTGAATGTGCATGCAAACGTATAAACGTTGAAGATAAATATTGCCAGATTTTCACTCCAAAAAGCCTGAGAACTAGTTTCGTTTATCGTTTCCAATGCGGGGCAATCTCGTTCCCCGAGCCCGCGATTCCTCTGGCGAGAAAACAAAGGCTCTGGGATAATCCAAACCAGAAATGATTCTGATTGGTTGTTCACGCCGTTTTAAGCCAGGATTTCTGGCTTCCGGTTTGGATTATCCCAGAGCCTTTGTTTTCTCGCCAGAGGAATCGCGGGCTCGGGGAACGAGATTGAATGCGGGGGAGGGGAAATCCGTTCTCGGCAGGTCGTCTTCAACATCACAGCCTGTGGTTGTTTGATAACAAAGACCACTGTCGACAACATCTGATTTTGATCAAAGATTAGGTTTGATTTGCCAAAAACGAAGATGACAAAATTTTCATCTAAATTATTTTGATATATATATATATAAGCGCCCTGGTTGGAACAAGACAAAGTGAGACCGCATGAGGAGGTCGCATGATCGAAAAACAAACTTTGTCTGCAAATACATCATAAAACAAACGTTTTATAAAGGTTTATTGTACGGACTAAATATGAGTTTTGAAATAAAGTCAGGGTTGAAATATTGAATTGAACTGAAATGATTCACTATCTATGCGTCAGGCTCAGCACCAGAGGCTCAGCACGTTATTAAATGCATGTTTTCAAACGTCGTGTTTCTCTACAAGAGACCCAAATTCCTAAGCGCCCGCCTGTGACCTCTAGTTGATCGTCGCGATGAGCGAGAATAGAGATCTGGCTTGTATTATGTATAGGTCATAATTCGTCCTTGTCCCATGTCGTAAGTTTCTTGTATAATTCGTCGTTAAGCAAAGTCCGACATAGCCTCCGACATATAAAAACCGAAATCAACAAATTACACCGATGCGTATGAATAGATGATCACGTCATGTGGCGTCATAGCAAAAATTTAATATATCATCAAATGAATAACTGAACAAAACTGGTGCAGTGTGACCCAATGATTTGTGAAATAATCATTGTATTCCAAAAGAATTCCACGTCCTCATATGATATTTGAGGAAAATTTCGACAATTTTGAGGGATTCAACAATAATTAATAACAAACAGGAGGGTGCCTGCTGAGATGCTATTTAGACAATTTCAAACCGAAATATTAATTAAAATTTTGAAAAAGATAGTTACCAGAATAATTTCGTTTTCATTTATATTTGGGGTAAGTCTTCAAGGGTATGTGAATGATATACATCTGCGTAATTGTCGCAAAGAATGACTGAAGGAAACCAAAACACATTTTATTTACCAGAAGTCCAGAGCTGAATATTCTCATGCATGAATTGCTAACTGAACAGGTATCAAACAGCGCTTAAAGCAGCAATTAAAAAAAATAATAAATTAAACAAAGTCAAAGAAGCGAAAGTATCAATAGTGTCAAAAGTGTCGCCATTTGAAGCTATATACGGCGAACTAATCTTAAAGGAAGGAAAATTGAACACAGTTACTGATATGTTAACAGAAGTTGAGGATGTGGTCGATCGCTCTGAGGGTTTTGACGTTGTAAGTTACTCTCTCTCGGAATGAAAGCTCTCGGCTTTAATGATCAAGCCCAATTTGCATTCACCGGCTCTTATCAGGGTTGGTTTTTCTCAGCGAAATCAAACTTGGCCTGGTGTAGTTAGATTATTGAAGCAAGACTCAGACTAAACTCCTATATTTAAGCGTGTTTTATTGAAATAACGCACCAAATTGAAGATTACAGGCCAGTCGAATCCGGATAATTTGCATGCTTGTGAACAAGGCTTTATATATAAATTGTTTGCACTGCGTATATTTTTTTGGCATCTGAGCTAAGGAGAAGAAACCTAAAATAAAACAATTAAGGCAGAAAAATATTTAGTTTAATGACTATGCATAGAAGATTTCGTAAAATCTGCTTCAAAGAATCTAAACTGAAAATATTTCTTTCAACCATATATATGTTGTTATATATTTCATATACTATTCTATAGTTCAAGACTCCAGTTTAAGCATAAAGACATGTTTTTATGATTTAGAGTATAATATATATCCTATACTGCTCCTATATTGATATCTCAAACCGACAAAATTGAATTGCGCATAACGCGCTGTTAACAAACAAATGGAAAATATCGTCATATTCGACAACCCGGGCCAATGGCGATGTTTGTGGAATTGTTTTCAGCATTGATTTTATGTTACATGATTCTGATTTCAATTTTCATCATATATTAAGTTTCGGTCTATTGATGATTCCCTGTTATCAAGCGAGGTTCTTCCTATAGTAATGCAAGACCTACAGGAATGTGTTGATAAGAACTACTTGTCTTCCTAGGGCTGGTTGTTCGAAAGGCGTTTAGCTTAAACGGTGAATAAGTTCAAAATGGAAAACAAAACTTTCTATTTATTGAAC